AAATTACCATTAGTAAATGAAGGAGATGAAACTGAAGATGGTATTGTTGGACAGCAGACTTACGATAGTAACGAAATTGAAAATCCATATTTAATTACCGTGTTATTGGGGCATACACAATCTGTGAGATCTGTGTCTGGATACGGTAATATTATAGTATCTGGCTCTTATGATACAACTGTTAGGGTATGGGATCTTCTTGATAACGGTAATTGTAAGCACGTCTTAAGTGGGCATGGTGATAGAATTTATTCTACAGCTTTAAACTTCCAGACTAAAAGATGCTATTCTGGATCTATGGATTCCTCGATAAATGTATGGGATATTGAAAGTGGGAAGCTATTACATACATTAGAAGGACATAGCTCATTAGTGGGATTGCTAGAATTATCTGACGAGTATTTGGTATCAGCAGCAGCTGATTCCACATTAAGAGTGTGGAATCCAAGATCCGGTGACAACATTTGTAAGTTAGAAGGACATAGTGGTGCCATAACATGTTTTCAGCATGATAGCCTTAAAATTGTCAGTGGTAGTGAAAGAATGTTGAAATTATGGGATATCAATACTGGGAAATTTGTAAGAGACCTACTTGTTGATATCACTGGCGGTATTTGGCAACTTCGTTTCGATTATAATAGATGCGTTGCTGCTGTTCAGAGGAGTAGAAATGACACAGATGAAACTTTCATCGAAATATTAGATTTTAGTACTCCACCTTCACAAACCGTAACTGAAATGGCTGATGACACTAATTCTGATGATCGCTTAGAGTAGTATATAGCATATGCAAAAGAATACATAATTTTAAAATATTTAACAGTAATAAAAGTTATTTGAGTACTTCCAAGCTTAGGATTATATATATATGGAAGGCGTTTTGCTTTCTAGAATTTGACTTTGTCTAAGCTGTAACAATAAAGATTAAATTAAAAATATATTCATTATCATAAAACCAAACTAATTAATTATATATCATCGTCCACTAAATACAATTTTCGAAGTTTGTGGAACTTGTCCAATCCTTCGTTAATGTCAAAACTATGTTTTCTTTTATGTGCCGAATTAAGTATATTACTTACATCAATATCATATTGAGTGTAAAATGTGCCTTCATTATGAATGTTCCCAGAATTTGTGACTATATTGATATAATATTGGTAAAGCGATGTAGATCCATCAATTAACTTAATATTACAGCACCAAGACTTATGCTCTTCCACCAAATCTATTTTGTCTTTATCCCAACCATCAAGTTCTGACTCATCGGGCCCCGAATCAGTATACAAGGTATCATGGTGCTCATCTTTACCCAGTATCAAAGGAGGAAATTTACATGGAGTTAAAACTCCAGAAGAAGGTAAATTTATACCAAGATCTGTAGCTGCTATTAAATTATTTTTTTCGATCGGTTCATGATACACTGAGTTCAAAAATATTCTCTTGTTGCATTTGGAGCATATCAATAAGAGCACCAAATGATTCGAAAACGATTGAATATGCAAACCCCATCCTAGAACTGCTACTTTATAAACCCACTGCGGAACTCTTTCCAACAAATTGAAAAAGTTCTCCTTATTATCTTTAAAATAGCGATTTAACAACCAATTCTTTGAAATTTTTATGAAATCGGAGAACTTTGGGTTCTCTTCTTCATTAAACAAGGCATCTTTAAACACTCCCGACGTGCTATTGAGAACATCCAAATTACTAGCCAAATTCTTTAAATTTTTCAAATATTCATTTGTAAGTAATTCGTTAGTGCTATTTATGAAAGGTCGTGGGTAATATACACCTTCCAACGGGGTCTCAAAATTTATCCACGGACAATCTGAGCTATGTCCAAACTTTCTTATTTGTTTAGAGTATTCACTGACCAATGATTTATTTAGCTCCTGGTAGTCTTCGATATCAAAGTCAAACGGTACAAAGGTAGATGGTGAATTTATGTCATTAAACTTGAGGATTAGTTGATGGTTACATGAAGTACACAAAAGATGGTTCTTTGTATTATTATTGGCCGAAATAGAAACACATTTCCATCCATTTCTGGCACATGAAAGTTCATTTATATCGCTCTGATCACTAGACAATGGAATATGCCAATTTAGAGCTGTGAACGTAGATAACCGCTTCAATAAATATTCTCTACTGTAAGGATCAAATGCTGGTGATTTTATAATGCTAGTTTCTGGTCTGTGTTTATTTTTGTTCTTTAATTTATGATAGTTGTAGTGATTTTTGGCCTTAATATTCTTGAAATATTGTATATCTGGGTGATTGAAAATTCTATCCATGCCTCTCTCGTCTTGATCAATATATGTCTCGTGAGACGGCGAAGAAATAAGTTCGAGATACTCTTTAAGTACTTTTGGTGTTCCCGACATTATATCTTTCATACCATGTATAAAATTTACTGTTTGAATATGTCTTCATCGTATTCTATATGGTTTAATCAGAGTCAGATTGTTACAATTTTAAGAGAATTCACGTGATGTAGATATAAGATAATGATGTGGATATAGGTGATTCTACTCTAAAGATATGTTAGTTCTACTATGTTGAAACGACAATATTCAGAAGATGAAACTGATAACTCGTTAAGCAATAAACAACAATAACAGAGTTCGAATTTGGAAGTTCAAATATACTGGAAAAATGGATGGACCCTACCTTTGCGTCTAGACGAATTAGTGTTCCCCTACACTCTGGACATGTTGTGACGTCTTTGCAACACGATGATGAAAATATTATAACAGGAGTTGATAATAAGATGATTTACATTTACAGCACAGAAACTAGTAAAGTTTTAAAAGTTTTGGAGGGCCATGAAGGAGGTGTTTGGT